AGAACAAGCCCCTACACGGCATGTATTGTACCACCGGAGCATAACAGAAGTGGCTGATCTCAAGAAGTCCTACCAATGGCTAGAAAGGGCTGGCCTACAGGACAGCACAGAGGCACTCATCATGGCTGCACAGGAGCAGGCACTGAGCACCAGAGCGATAGAGGCCCAGATATACCACACCAGACAAGACCCAAGGTGTCGGTTGTGCAAAGAGGCACCTGAGACGATCCAACACATAACTGCAGGGTGCAAGATGCTGCAGGGAAGGCCTACATGGAACGCCATAACCAAGTGGCTGGCATAGTGTACAGAAACATCTGTGCAGAGTATGGGCTGGAAACCCCAAGGTCTAAGTGGGAAACTCCTCCAAAGGTGGTGGAGAATGAGCGTGCAAAGATCCTGTGGGACTTCCAGATAGAGACCGACCGAATGGTAACGAACCAACCTGACATCGTGGTGGTGGACAAAGGGCAGAGGACAGCCGTGGTGGTGGACAAAGGCAGAGGACAGCCGTGGTGGTGGACAAAGGGCAGAGGACAGCCGTGGTGGTGGACAAAGGCAGAGGACAGCCGTGGTGGTGGACAAAGGGCAGAGGACAGCCGTGGTGGTGGACAAAGGCAGAGGACAGCCGTGGTGGTGGACAAAGGGCAGAGGACAGCCGTGGTGGTGGACGTGGCAATTACAAAGGATGGGAACAAAGGAATACGAAAAGCTTGAGAAATACCAAGGTCTCAGAGAGGAGCTGGAGAGGGCCTGGAGGGTAAAGGTGACAGTAGTGCCCGTGGTGACCGGTGCACTCGGGGCAGTGACCCCGAAGCTATAGGAGTGGTTACAGCGGATTCCTGGAACAACCTCGGACCTCTCGGTCCAGAATTGTTCAGTAGGAACAGCAAAGAGGGCGAAAGGTGTGTGTGTGTGTTTATATATAGATATATATATATATATATATACATATATATAAAGGGCTGTCAAACGATTAAAAATTTTAATTGAGTTAATTACAGCTTAAAACTTAATTAGTGGTAATTAATCGCATTTCGAACAATGTCATATTTTTCTGTAAATGGTTGTTTGAATGGAAAGATAAATGGCAACATATAGTGTACATATGTACAGTATTTGTTTATTATAACAAAAAATCTACATAAAATGGCATTAACATTATTAACATTCTGTCTTTCTGTAGTAGACACTATTTTTTCAGCACATCATATTTTGCATCTGCTAAAGCCTCCTCCTCTTCTTCTCTGTCTCATGAAGGCTGTGGATCCTTTTCATTATTGTGCCTCTGCAAACTATTGTTTGTTACAGAGATGAGGGACATGAAAAAAGTCTGAAATGCATTTCAGCCAATGGCTGTCGATAACTGTTTGATTTGCTCACAACATTTCATTTTTGGGCACAAACCACAGGAAATGGTAGTGCAAAGGAAAACTTAGGTACCCCAGCTTTAATTTAGACACGGGGGAGACGGACTGTTTCTTGCAGTTTTTAGTGTGGCGTGATCAGTGCACACAGTGGTCCTGTGCGCGGTCACTGCACACAGTCCTGTGCGTGTATATGGTCTTGGGACATGGCCACGTTACGTCCCCGCATCCTGCAGCTGAGCGGCTTTCAACAGCACGGGAGGTTGCGCTCCTGTGCTGTTGAAAGCCGCAGCTGCCACAGAACGCTGCGGACTCACCGCAATTGCCCCGCGATTAATGAAAAAAATTAACGTGCGTAAACGCTAAATATATATATATATATATATATATATATAATATATATATATATATATATATATATATATATATATATATATATATATATTATATTTCCATCCATCCATCCATTTTCTTCCGCTTTATCCGTTGCCGGGTCGCGGGGGCAGCAGTCTAAGCAGAGACGCCCAGACTTCCCTATCCACACACACTTCCTCCAGCTCGTCCGGGGGGACCCCAAGGCGTTCCCAGGCCAGCTGAGAGACATAGTCCCTCCAGCGTGTCCTAGGTCTTCCGCGGGGCCTCCTCCCGGTGGGACGTGCCCGGAACACCTCCCCAGGGAGGCGTCCAGGAGGCATCCGGAACAGATGCCCGAGCCACCTCAACTGGTTCCTCTCGACATGGAGAAGCAGCGGCTCTACTCCGAGCTCCTCCCGTGTGACTGAGCTCCTCACCCTATCTCTAAGGGAGCGCCCAGCCACTCTGCGGAGGAAGCTCATTTCGACCGCTTGTATCCGCGATCTCGTTCTTTCGGTCCTTACCCAAAGCTCATGACCATAGGTGAGGGAGGGAACGAAGATTGACCGGTAAATCGAGAGCTTTGCCTTTCGGCTCAGCTCCCTCTTTACCACAACGGTCCGATACAGCGACCGCATCACTGCGCACGCTGCACCGATCCGCCTGTCAATCTCACGCTCCATTCTTCCCTCACTCGTGAACAAGACCCCGAGATACTTGAACTCCTCCACTTGAGGAAGGACCTCTCCACCCACCTGAAGAGGGCAGGGCACCTTTTTCCGGTCGAGCACCATGGCCTCAGATTTGGAGGTGCTGATTCTCATCCCAGCCGCTTCACACTCGGCTGCAAACCGTCCCAGTGCATGCTGCAGGTCCTGGTTCGTTGGAGCCAACAGGACAACATTGTCCGCAAACAGCAGAGATGAAATCCTGTGGTTCCCGAACCGGACCCCCTCCGACCCCTGGCTGCGCCTAGAAATTCTGTCCATAAATACAGTGAACAGAACCGGTGACAAAGGGCAGCCCTGTCGGAGGCCAACATTCACCGGGAACAGGTCTGACTTACTGCCGGTGTTCTGCCGAGTTGTAACGCTCTGCCAAAAAGTGACGCTTATGTAATGCTCAGCTGTTAATGATGTAATGCAAACCTGCGCGCATGCGCGTCTCACGGCAGCCGAAACAAACCAAGATGGCGGACAGAAAGTCCGAGAATTGCTGTAAAAGTTATAATACGAACGAAATAAGACACGAATGTCACTTTTAATGCAATTTGAGGCGAGATGTTGATGGTTCCGTGTTGGCACATGTGGGTTTTAAGAGTCAAACTTTCGGGTAAAGTTTAGTTTAAGCAGTCAACTGCACCTATGAAACCACTATGCTTATGTTATGATAGCAGTCCTGGCAGCTGACGTAGGCTGATGAAGCGTCCTGTGGCAACTCTACAGCTTACAACTGGATGAATGTTGATAATGGAAATAATACATTTAATTTAATGCAGCGATCACCTGCAGCAGCACAGCTTGTGGACTGCACACTTTTCTGTCAGTTCAGTTAATAATTTTCATGGGATGAATTCGAAGTTGCAAAAAAAAAAAAAATGGCCATTTGGATATATAGTGCAACTTTTACTGTCAAGACTCTGCTGCAGCTGATCCATGACAACAACCACAGGATTATTATCACCAGTAACCACAGAGATTACATGCCATGGCCATGTTGTCCTTTGAAATGTAATTCATTCGTGGATTGATGAATTTTGACTAGTTTCCCAGATGAAAGATCGGGTGCATCCTTTCTATTAAAGAAATGAACAACACTGGTGAGTAACATTTAAATTGGAACCAATCAAAGGTTTTTTCATGGGCTTTATGTTAGGTTGTGCATAAAAAATGGGCTGTGGTATTGAATTGAATTTGTGTAGATTTTCCTGCTGAAGGATGTAAAGTTCCCGCATTGATGTCAAGCTTTAAATACAAGAGAAAACACGTTTGTAGTTTTTTTGTGTGGATCAATCAAGTCTGTTTAAGTCTGAAGGCTGTAAACTAAGTGTATTTTTAGAAATGTAGGAATTGTATTGACTTTGATTGGTTAGGCCCAACCAGGGACAGGAGTTGTGAATTGGCATCTGCTATAAACTACATTCATCACATCAGCTGCAAGCTTTGTTTATGACTGTGTCTGCATTGTCCCTGTCAAATAAATATATTGATAATGTTGAAAGAGCGTGGAGACTTCATTTTCAGAAATCAATTCATTTAACAAATATCAGGCACATCCAAAGCACACAATACATTGTATATCTTTCAAAACACAAATCTGAGAGGAACACTTAAACACATGAAATGCAAAACAACACAGAACCATTGATCCATAAGGAGAAAAAATGTCCATAAATGTTGTAGAATGTTAAAGTGTCCTGGATCATCACCAGTCCTTTTGTTAGACACTTAACTGTCTAACAGACCCTCCTACATCGGCAAGGAAAAACTCTAAAACCCAGTGGGAAAAAAGTGAGAAACCTTGAGGGAGACCACATTGAGAAAGGGATCCGCTCCTCACGGACGGACAGGCTATAGATCCAGAACCTAAGCTACAGAACATGGACCAGGGCGCAGGGCGGGACTGGGGCAGCAGAACGAGGACTGAGGCAGCTCCCAGGCAGGGGTGCAGCCCACGAGTCGGGCTGAAGGAGGACAGTCAGCAGGTGCAAATGGTCTCGTCGTCACACCATGAAACAGACAAAGGGACAAAACATTTCAGTACATTACAGTACACTACGCAAACAGCAAATTACAATAATTAACATACGTGTCCAATTCCACAGGAGTCTCAGATTTGTGGAGTTGGTTAGCTGGTGCTCGGGACGACTGGGAGCCAGGTCATTCCTGCATGTGATGTGCTCAGGATACGCGAAGAGTTCACAGATCCTGAAGGCCAGTGCGTTGGCTTTCTGTCCTGGTCAGCCTCTGTAATAATATATTATTAAGTTATTGTACTGTAATGTTTGTACAGTATTATTTCTTTACCAAGTGTTGGCTTTGCTGTTTGCTTTCCTTTGTTGTACTTTGGGTTGGAACTTTGAATAAAGACTGCCCTTTTGAAGAATCTTGCCCACGTTTGACATTTTCATTTAAGTGCATTCCTGCCCAAAAAAGCCTGCACAAAAAAGGGTCAATGTTAACAGGATTTGTATTCTTAATTATTACAAAGAATAACGCTTCAGCTGTGATGTCTGGTGCTCGGAGACGGGTTTCTGCACATCTTTAGGCAATCAGTTGTTCATTTAGCTCTTCTTTGTACAATGGGGCATACCCTGAGAAAACAATGAATTTGGTTACAAGAGAAATGTTTTGACTTGCGTGTGACAATCAGTGACACTATAGTCCGCTTCAAGACTTTTTCCATGTAAAAACTCCCTCCTACCTCATTGCTCTAAGGAAACACAAAAGTTTTAATTTATAATGAAAATACAATAAATTGTGTAATATTTACTACTAGACATACCTGTTCTGTTTGTATGTCAAGCACCTTCTCACTCTCAAGTTCCATTGGTGTGTAGCTGTCACATTTGGCAGTGTCCTAAAAGCATTGGAAAAACGTTAGATGCAAAGTAACAAATATTACTGACATTACTATCCCTACCTGGTGAATCTGCTATTTTTCCCTTCTTCAAATCCTCCAAAAGCCTCTTGATTTTTCCTCCACTTGTTTTCGATTGGTGGGTCAAGAAAGTGCCATGATTGTCTCCTAAATAAAATAAGGTATAATTTGTCCCACAGTGGGAAAATGTGATTGTTACAGTATTTACTTACTACTTATTTACAGACGAGATGACATGTACAGGCTCAGCAGTTCTCACAGTACAGTCTGACAGCGGCAGGAAGGAAAGACCTGTGCAACCTCTTCTTCACACATAGAGGATGAATAACTCTCACTGAAGCTGCTCTCCAGAGCAGAGTGTCCTGCAGGGGGTGACAGTCATGGTCCCCCACCTGCTGCACTGGGAACAGCCCATGACTGAGCTGAACTTACTGATGACCTTGTCCAGCTTCTTCCCCCTCTGTGATGCTGTTGATCCAGCAGACCACTCGGAACAAGAACACCATTTCTTTGGTCTTCCCTGCATTGATGAGGAGGTGGTTCCTCTCTTTGGTCGGTTTATGAGGAGATGTTTCCTCTCTTTGGTCTGTTGATGCGGAGGTGGTTTCTCTTTGGTGTTATAATAATAATAATAATAATAACAATACATACTTATACAGCACTTTTCTGGACACTCATACGCTTTACAGAAGAAAAATAAGAAACAAGACAGTTTTGAACAAGTGAGTTAATGGGACAATAGCGGACAAGAGCGGGTGGACCACGAGTGATCCACGAGTCCTATAACACAAGGACAAGAGCGGGTGGACCACAGGTGAGACACGAGTCCGTTTAGCACAAGTGGACAAGGGCGGGTGGATCACGAATGTTCCACGAGTCCGTAGCGCAAGTCACACATCAACCACTTGTCTAGGGGGTATAAGAGATCGGTCCCCCAAGGTTGGGCAATTTGTTATGATGGGAGTGAGGAGGTTGGAGTCAGCGGATCTGAGGCGGCGGGTGGGACAATGCTGATAGAGGAGGTCAACAAGGTATGAAGGGGCCAGGTTATGAAGGGACTTTTAGGTGAGGAGGACCTTGTATTGGATAAGGTATGGGACAGGGAGCCAGTGGAGTTGATTGAGGACGGGGGTGCTATGGTCTATGGAGCGGGTGTTGGTGAGCAGGTGGGCAGCTGATTTCTGGATGTATTAAACTTTTTGGAGATGAGTGGACGGGAGACCGGAGAGGAGGCTACTGCAGTAATTGTGTCTGGAGGTGATGAAGGCGTGGATGAATATTTCTGCAGTGGATTGTGTGAGTGAGGGGCAGAGACGGGCCATGTTGCGAAGGTGGGGGAAGGATGTTTTGGTGATAGTTTATGTGTGGTTCGAATGTAAGGGCGGCGTCCAGTATACCGCTGATGTTGCGCACAGAGGGGTAACCTTGAGGAACACCAGTGGAGGTATTGGACTTGACATTGTTAATTGAGGTCGGTGAGGTTGGAGAACCAGGAAAGTGCTGTGATGTGAGCCATGGGGCTGCTTTTGTTTTAAGAGGAGCTAGCTGGTTAAGGCAGGACGAGAGGGATTGTTTAGAGGTTGACAAGTTCTGAAGTGGTGGAGGTTGTTTGGAGGGAGGGGCCTGATAGAGATTCAGATATAAACGATGACAATGTGGTGTGGTCGAGTGATTTAGGGATCGACAGTAGATTTGGAGGGCGACAGTAGCTCAGTTGGTAGAGCATTGGCCTTTGAGCCAGAAGGTCGTGGGTTCGAGCAAGACTTTTACCGATGACTCCCACTGTCTGCTGTTGTTGTGTCCTTGACAAGACACTAAACCTCTGGTAACACCAGGTGCCACAGTGGGGTGGCTGCGGCTGTGTCCTTAGGCAAGACACTCCACCCCATAGCCTAGAATGAGTCTGGTGTGTTTGTGAATGGTTGGTGGTGGTGGGAGGGGCCGATGGCACAGACTGGTTGCCTCGCTTCTGTCAGTGTGCCCCAGGGCAGCTGTGTCTACAGTGGTAGTTTATCGCTACCGTGTATAGAGTGAAAGAATAATGACATGTAAAGCGTCTTTGAGTGTCCAAAAAAGGTTAAGGCAGGAGGAGAGAGACTGATAAAACTTATTTGACAAGTTCTGAAGTGGTGGAGTTTGTTTTGAGGGAGGAGCCTGATAGAGATTCAGATATGGAGGACGAGAATGTGGTGCGGTCGAGTGATTTAGGATTCCAGAAGGTTATTGAGCAGGTTTGATTAGGTGGGTTTAAATGTTAATTGTTATTGAAAGTCTTTGCATTGATAATCGTTATGGTTATTGCGACGGGTCTGTGTGGAAGAGTGTGGGAGTGGACAGATCTGCAACCAGCCTCCACCTGACCGCAGGAGGATGTGGGTTGTTCAGGTTCTGGGTTCTGGCTCGCCATCGGGTTCAGGTTGTGTCTCACCCAAACCTGCATTAAAACAACAGGACTATGTTTAAAAACAACAACAATATCATTCAATAGCTAGCTCCCACTTTAACACAGAGTAAACATAAAACAAAATACATTAAATGGCAAAATCTTCCTCTTCATAATACAATGTATAAAGACTCAGATATAGCATTCAACGTAGACAGATGCTATCAGTATGTAACAATAACTAAAAAAATGACAATCTCTAAAGACTCAATTGATATAAATCATGTTGATAATCCGATTAATGAAACATTGTCATCTCAATGCACTACAATGAAACACTAGTGCATTGAGATGGTAATTGTACCACAGATGGTGATGCTAGGAGTAAACAACTTTACTAAAAAGTCGTTTACACAGCGTTTGTTTCACTACATATCGATGTATCTAAGCCCCTATCAAATCACAGGATGAATTTCGCTGATAGAACGTTAAAACAATCGAAATATATGCCATTTGAAAACGGAGAGCCATACTCACGTGTGTTTTCAGCTTCGGGTGGAAGAGAAAACAAGTCTGATTTGAGCATGCGCAAAAAAGGACGTACGTCAGCTGCCAGGACTGCTATCATAACATAAGCATAGTGGTTTCATAGGTGCAGTTGACTGCTTAAACTAAACTTTACCCGAAAGTTTGACTCTTAAAACCCACATGTGCCAACACGGAACCATCAACATCTCGCCTCAAATTGCATTAAAAGTGACATTCGTGTCTTATTTCGTTCGTATTATAACTTTTACAGCAATTCTCGGACTTTCTGTCCGCCATCTTGGTTTGTTTCGGCTGACGTGAGACGCGCATGCGCGCAGGTTTGCATTACATCATTAACAGCTGAGCATTACATAAGCGTCACTTTTTGGCAGAGCGTTACAACTCGGCAGAACACCGGCAATGCGAACACAGCTCTGGCTCTGGTCATACAGGGACCGGATGGCCCTCAGCAGAGGACCCCCGACCCCGTACTCCCGGAGAACCCCCCAAAGGACACCCCGGGGAACACAGAACGCCTTCTCCAAATCCACAAAGCACATGTGGACAGGTTGGGCGAACTCCCATGAACCCTCGAGTATCCGATGGAGAGTATAGAGCTGGTCCAGTGTTCCGCGACCGGGACAAAAACCACACTGCTCCTCCTGGATCCGAGATTCGACCATCGGCCGTAGCCTCCTCTCCAGTACCTTGGAGTAGACCTTACCGGGGAGGCTGAGGAGTGTGATCCCACGATAATTGGAACACACCCTCCGGTCCCCCTTCTTGTAGAGAGGGACCACCACCCCGGTCTGCCACTCCATTGGCACCGCCCCCGATCGCCACGCGATGTTGCAGAGACGTGTCAGCCAAGACAGTCCTACAACATCCAGAGACTTTAGATAATCAGGGCGGATCTCATCCACACCCGGAGCCTTGCCACCATGGAGGCTACCAACCACCTTGGTGACCTCAGCCAGGGGAGATGGATGTATCCGCCCCAACATCCTCAGCCTCTGCCTCTGAAACAGAGGACGTGACGGGGGGATTGAGGAGAACCTCAAAGTATTCCTTCCACCGCCCGACAATATCCCCCGTCGAGGTCAGCAGCTCTCCACCCGCACCGTACATGGTGTTGGCAAAGAACTGCTTCCCCCTCCTGAGGCGCCGGACGGTTTGCCAGAATTTCTTTGAGGCCGACCGATAGTCATGCTCCATGGACTCTCCGAACTCCTCCCAGTCCCGGGTTTTTGCCTCTGCAACAGCCCGGGCCGCGGCACGCTTAGCCTGCCGGTACTGGACAGCTGCCTCAGGAGTCCCCCGAACCATCATGGCTCGATAGGACTCCTTCTTCAGCCTGACAGCATCCCTTACTGCCGGTGTCCACCACCGGGTTCGGAGGTTGCCGCCGGGACCAGCACCAGAGACCTTGCGACCACAGCTACGAGCCGCCGCATCGGCGATTGAGGAAGAGAACATGGTCCACTCGGACTCCATGTCCCCCTCCTCCACCGGGACCTGGGAGAAACTCTCCCGGAGGTGTGAGTTGAAAGTCCGTCTGACAGGGGGCTCAGCGAGACGTTCCCAGCAGACCCTCACTATACGCTTGGGTCTGCCAGGTCTGACCGGCTTCTTCCCCTGCCAGCGGATCCAACTCACGACCAGGTGATGATCGGTTGACAGCTCTGCCCCTCTCTTTACCCGAGTGTCCGAGACACGCGGTCGAAGGTCAGATGATACGACAACAAAGTCGATCATCGACCTCCGGCCTAGGGTGTCCTGGTGCCACGTGCACTGGTGGACACCCTTGTGCTCGAACATGGTGTTCGTGATGGACAAACTGTGACTGGCACAGAAGTCCAACAACTGAACACCGCTCGGGTTCAGATCAGGGGGGCCGTTCTTCCCGATCACCCCTCTCCAAGTGTCACTGGCGTTTCCCACATGGGCGTTGAAGTCCCCCAGGAGAATAACGGAGTCCCCGGGCGGTGCACCGTCCAGTACCCCTCCCAAGGACTCCAAGAAGGCCGGGTACTCTGCACTGCTGTTAGGCCCGTAGGCCGTCACAACAGTGAGAGACTTGTCCCCCACCCGGAGGCGGAGGGACGCGACCCTCTCATTCACCGGGGAGAACTCCAACACGTGGCGGCTGAGATGGGGGGCAATGAGAATGGCCACCCCAGCTCGCCGCCTCTCCCCGCGGGAAACACCAGAAAAGTGGAGCGTCCAACCCCTCTCAAGGAGTTGGGTTCCAGAGCCCAAGCTGTGTGTGGAGGTGAGGCCGACTATCTCTAGTCGGTATCGCTCAACCTCCCCCACAAGCTCGGGCTCCTTCCCCCCCAGTGAGGTGACGTTCCACGTCCCAAGAGCCAGCTGTTGTGTGTGCGGACTGGGTCGTCGAGGTCTCCGCCTTCGACTGCTGCCCAGTCCTCTCTGCACCGCGCCACCACGGACCCCTCTGCGGGTGGTGGGCCCACAGGAGGGACTGCCCACGTCGTCCATTCGGGCTGAGCCCGGCCGGGCCCCGTGGGCTAAGGCCCGGCCACCAGGCGCTCGCCTACGAGCCCCGACCCCAGGCCTGGCTCCAGGGTGGGGCCCCGGCTGCGCCATGCCGGGCGACGTCACTGATTTCGTATGAGTGCTGTCCATGGTGTCTTCTGGACTGCTCTTTGTCTGACTCGTCACCCGAGACCTGTCTGCCATGGGAGGCCCTACCAGGGGCATGAAGCCCCAGACAGCATAGCTCCCAGGATCATCCGAGTACTCAAACTCCCCCACCACGTTAAGGTGGCAGTCCAGGGGGGAGTTATTAATAGTAGTAAAAGTTGTATTATCTTAAGTGTTATTAGTAATATCTTTTTATGTTTTGGTTAAGACATTTGAGACGAAAAGCAATCACGTGCCTCTGCAGCGACTCCCGCAATGTTGAGCTCAACCAATCACGGTTCTCCGTCTATAAGCTATACTATTTTCCCGGTCAAGACCAGAGTCCACAGGTATGTATACTTTTTACTCCTACATTTTAAATACGGGCTAGTTACTGTCACGGCTTTTGAAGGTGACTATAAATAAGTAAGTAAGTAATCTTTATTTATATACCGCCTTTCACAGACCAGAGTCACAAAGCGGTTTACAATTGTTATTTTTGGGCATTTGTCTCTCACTCCACAGAGATAGGAGCGGGGTATAGAATGTAAATAAAAGAGAAAAAGACGAACATCAAATCACATGCGCATCGCGGCGGGTATTACATGCTCATCACGGGGAGTGCACGCGCATCGCAGCTAGTGCTCGTGCATCGCCGGGATTGCATGGGTGCTCGCGCCGCGCGGGTACTGCACGCGCATTGCGGGGAGTGCAAGTGCATGGGTGCTCGCGCCACGCGGGTAGTAGAAAGTTCCAAACTTCCCACACATAGGCCCTCATGTATGAAAGTTGCGCAGAACAGGGTGTATATTTTTGGTGTATAGTCCATTTACGCAAGACTCAACGTGGGATTTATGAACGAGTGAGATACGCACATATCTGAGCGTACGCAGCCACGGCTGTTTATAAATGCCACGGAGAAAAATAGCGTATTTATGAAAGTCACGCCTAAAAATATTGAGTTTATTATGAGTTTTATTGTATTATTTTGTCAACAAAAAAAGAAGTAAACCCCACTATATTATATACACGCGTTTTTCCCTAGTGTCTAGACCCACTGCAGCACTCATCTCTTCTGAAATTTAGTAAATAAATAAATACAAAAATATATATATATACATAAATGTGATGTGCAAAAGATGTGTATGTATATTAACTGTGTATTATAAATATTGACTTTGTTTTCTTTCATATTTTTCTAGTTAAGGTAAAAGTATCAAATAAAAGATGGGAAGGACGAAGAAAGGATGTAGGAGGAATCCATGGAAAATTGCTGGTGGAAGGGAATGTATTACTAGGGCACTGCAGGTCGGAATACAGAATAATGGAGACACCTCGTATAGTTCTAATTTGTGGTCTCAAGTATCCATTGCTCTGTTTGGTAATGCAAGTAAAAGTAACTGCCATTGGCTGTGGGTTACGTGGGAAGGAAACCGGCAGGGTGTGAGAGATTTGGTGGTTAGATCTGTCCAAATAAGAGCTGGAAATGAAGACGATTGTAGGAGTGGAGAAGATGAAGACATGGACCATGACGACAGAGAGAACATTGGAGAGGACGAGTCGGTGAAAGGAGAGATAGAGAACATTGGAGAGGAGGAGTCAGTGGAAGGAGAGACGGAGAGCATTGGAGAGGAGGTGTCGGTGGAAGGAGAGATGGAGAGCATTGGAGAGGAGGTGTCGGTGGAAGGAGAGATGGAGAGCATTGGAGAGGAGGTGTCGGTGGAAGGAGAGATGGAGAGCATTGGAGAGGAGGTGTCGGTGGAAGGAGAGACGGAGAGGACTGGAGAGGAGGAGTCGGTGGAAGGAGAGACGGAGAGCATTGGAGAGGAGGAGTCGGTGGAAGGAGAGATGGAGAGCATTGGAGAGGAGGTGTCGGTGGAAGGAGAGATGGAGAGCATTGGAGAGGAGGTGTCGGTGGAAGGAGAGACGGAGAACATTGGAGAGGAGGTGTCGGTGGAAGGAGAGATGGAGAGCATTGGAGAGGAGGTGTCGGTGGAAGGAGAGACGGAGAGGACTGGAGAGGAGGAGTCGGTGGAAGGAGAGACGGAGAGCATTGGAGAGGAGGAGTCGGTGGAAGGAGAGATGGAGAGCATTGGAGAGGAGGTGTCGGTGGAAGGAGAGATGGAGAGCATTGGAGAGGAGGTGTCGGTGGAAGGAGAGACGGAGAACATTGGAGAGGAGGTGTCGGTGGAAGGAGAGATGGAGAGCATTGGAGAGGACGAGTCGGTGAAAGGAGAGATAGAGAACATTGGAGAGGAGGTGTCGGTGGAGGAAGATGAGACCTGGAGAAGTCAGAAACATTACCGAAAGTGCCCTGCAGTTAAGAGAAGATTTTTGATTACACTTCCTCTGAAAACATGGAGAAAAATAGCACCAGCAGATGATTGCACTCAATTACAACCCGATTGGACAAATGTGATTTACCATTATTAAAAAAAAAAAAATCCATGCTGCCCTCTTTCCTTCAAACAACATTACATAAAATTGGAAAATAGTCGGAAAAAAAAGAGCCCTTACCTCCATATTTTTGCAAAATGCATGCTGAAGTCGTGCATGGCAAATTACAAATTTACACTTGCCAAAAAGCCTGCTGGATCTAAACATATAACAATTAGAGTCACACAATCTGGACAAATAAGACATTCCAAAAAACAACAAAAAGCAAGACCTGCAACAAATAAAAAAAGAGGACGCATTGCAAGGGCCTTACACCAAGGTGTAGGCAATGTTTTTTACAAGAACATGCGAAGGGCACCTGCAGCAGAGATAACATCAGGAAATCTCAGCAGTGTGGTTAGTAAAAATGTGCTGAAAGTAATCTCTTCAGAATTACAAAAAACCTGTAGGCTTGATCAAAACGTCCTCATGGAAATGCACCTTATTCAGACAATACTGAAAGAATGTGATCACAGCTTTACACATTTACCTGGATATGTGCAGCATTTTCAGCTGGAGCCATTTTCAGTGCATTTATACACCGAGACCAGTCTGAACATCACATCTCAGCACTTGAAAAAAAAAGCCCCTCTTGTCCTCTACCTGGATGCAACAGGCAATGTTGCCTGCAAAATTCCAGGACAAACCAAAAAAATCCTGTATTACGCTCTCACTCTTCCTGGTGGTGGTAAAGACTCCCCCCCACTACCTGTGTGTGAAATGGTCACAAATGAACATTCGATTCCTCCAATTACATTTTGGCTAATGCAGTTCAACAGGCATCTCACAACTATAACAAAGAAAAAAATAGCACAAATAGAGACTGATTATAGCTGGGCATTAATGCAGGGAGTACTCTTGGCATTTAATAAAGAAAGTGCCATGAGCTATTTGGAGAGAGCAATGGCCATATGCTCTGGAACCCTGCCATGGAGCAGTATCAAACTTTATACTGTACTCCATTTGTGTTCCGCACATATTCTGAAATCCGTCATAACCTCAATTGGACAAAAAACCTCTGACAAAGGCCTAAAGATGTTTGCCACTTTTGTCTTTGCCAGGATTCAGAACTGCACATCATTAGGGACAGCGGTCACCATCTTCAGATCAATGTGTATCGTTTTCCTGTCAAAAAACAATGGAGAACTATTTAAAAAACACTTATCCAATCTGGAGACTACCATCACAGAACAGAAAAATAATCAGTTGTTGGGTGAAAGCAGCAAAGAGGTAGAGGTCAACATGGGAAAGGACATGGGAAAGGTTCTGAATGTTTTGAAGGAGGCTGAAGAAGACATTAGAAATGAAAACAATCAGGCAGTCAGTCAAACTCCTAGTCAGTCAAACTCCTATTACTGCCCGGGGATTTTGGACGTCCTTTTCAAGAGTTACTTAGGGATTTTCCCTTTGTGGAGTGGTGTGCTTCTTGGGGATTTGAGGAGATATGCCTCGGACAAAGGGCAGGATACAGAAGAGGCAAGTGAGAAGTCAAATGAAATTAAAAAGACGAGGGACACAAACTGTCACGTCGAAAGGTGGTTTGGGATTGTAAAAAATTCAATAATGAAGAAAAAGCTGAGAGTTGGGGCTGGGGCATTTGTTCGGATGATGTACAGCTCTCTGCGTGGAAGATACAGAGAGCACATCCTGCAACACAGACTCTCAGAAAGGCCAGTCTGCACCTCAAAAAGACAGAATATCGAACAATCACAAGAAAATTGGGCAAAAAGAGAAGGATCCAAAAAAAAAAATAAAAAGATCTAAATATTTTTCTGCACCAAATAAAATACCCGTGCCCAAAGAAGCTCACAAGACCACTGCCCTTGAAGGAGCCAAAGTCCCTGTTGCCCCAAAAGGAACCAAAGTCCCTGTTGCCCCAAAAGGAACCAAAGTTTCCGTTGCCCCAAAAGGAACCAAAGTTTCCGTTGCCCCAAAAGGAACCAAAGTTTCCATTCCCCCAAAAGGAACCAAAGTTTCCGTTGCCCCAAAAGTAACCAAAGTTTCCATTCCCCCAAAAGGAACCAAAGTTTCCGTTGCCCCAAAAGGAACCAAAGTCCCTGCTGCCCCAGAAGGATTGCAAGTTCTCCCCAAGAAGTCAAAGGTAGCTACAGGTTTTTTTAAATTATGTTTTTAAACAGCATATTTCTATATTTATATTATATTATATTACATAATGTCTGAGCATTTTTTTTCTCCCCTATTAGTCGGAAAGTCTTTGGAACCAAAAAACAACAGAAAGAATTGTGGCTATACTGGTCAATACAAGGCAGAAGTTAACATTCACATTGAGACAACAAGAACTTCTCTCTCTAAAGCCCCATGAGCTCATCATTTGAGAGGCAAGACCAATAACACGCATGCACACACACATGTAAACTGACACATACGTTGTTTAATATTTTTCTCTACAATAGGTTATCGAGTGTTATGTAAGAGCAACACTTAATTCTGTGGATGTGGAAAATCGATTATATCAACTAAACCATCAGTCCTTGCAAAAGATTTTATTTGGAACACGGGAGGAAATGTCAAGACAGGGCTTAAGAAAGGTAAATTGAGAACTCCATCTACGTTATACTTCCTCTCTATCCATTGCCGGTCGCGGGGGCAGCTTTCTAAGCTGAGACGCCTGTACTTCCCCATCCACACACACTTCCTCCAGCTCGTCCGGGGGAACCCCAAGGCATCCCAAGGCCACAGAGAGACACAGTCCCTCCAGTGTGTCCTGGGACGTGCCCGGAACACCTCCCCAGGGAGCTCGAGCCCTCCATCTCCCTCGCCATCTTTTTCTACCTATATCTCCATCTATCTCTGTGGCATTTTTTCATTCTATCACCCTCTCTTTGTATTTACCCTCATATCTATGTATAGATGAGGAGGAAAGAGCATGTGAACCCTTAGCAATTTCTAGTATTTCTGCATAATTTGGTTATGAAGTGTGCTCTGATCTTCATAAAAATCACAATGGTCAAATAAATTGTGTTGTATTCAGCATGAATATTATAGTTTTTCATAAAACAACAAAAAACAGCATTTAAACATTCCCAGAGCAGGGATGATTATATGTCATTTTTTTTTAAGGTTTGTTTTGAAGATTATGATGGAGTCATCGGATTTGTGAACACAGGGTGTCACTAGAAGTGTGTGGTAAGTAAAAGAGTAATGTGAAAAAGTTAAACTTTATCATAAACAACTACTTTTTTCCTCGCCAGTATCTGAATGCTATCACACAACAGATATTTATGCTGGACCCATTAAAAACACTAAAAGAAGCAGAGGACACACAAATGGCTGCTCTAAGATTTGGGTGAATTTATGAATGAAAAATACATATAATCATAAAAGGGCACTTAATGTTAGGTCTATCTATTATGTATTTCACAGACAATACTTTAAAATGAGAAGGAATCGCTTGGGGAAGGAGGACTGGATCCATATTACATGGAAACCAGGGAACATTCCACACACACACCAGCAAGATCCTGTCAGCTGTGGAGTTTTTGTCATGCAGGTATCTAAAGAACAAGCTATAGTAGTAAATGACTGACATATCATGATCACTTAATATCCATGCCAAGTTTTGGCAATGTCGTTCCCTCATATCCCCAAGGGCATTCAAGTGGAGACAACCAAAAAAGCCATGGGAAATCTGAGAAAGGAGATGGCTGAGGAGATTCTCAGAATGAGTGGTGACAGCATTATAATTTTGAAACAATTATTGTATTTGTACTATTATTGCAATTAACTTTTTATTGTATTTGCTATAAACAGTGTCAGACTTCTGTTCGCTGTGTGGGCTCCAAAACTCAGCAACTGGAGTTACTTGGGTAAGAGCAGTATTTTCTTTTTTAAAAATTTTTAAGAGGAGTGTTAAATGACCAACATTAATATTCATGCAGATTCAGTGTGACAATTGCCAGGGATGGTTCCACATTGAGTGCGTAGCAATGGCCCAAGAGGACATCCCGGACCAAAAAATGGAATGGAAGTGTCAGTGGTGTTGAAGCTGATTCCACAAATCTGGATGTGGTCCAGTTCCACTGCTACAGACATAAAACAATTTTCTACTGTAACAGGCATTACATTTCATTATTTTATGAGTAATATAATTACACATAGTATATACAATTATCAAATATCACATACCATTGTGCAATTCACACATCGCTGCTCTCTTATCACATTCTGGAGAACTTGGTGAGCACGCCCCCCTTTTTGAACAAAAGCTATTGAAGATTGATATTTAATCATAAAAAATATAACAAAGAGATAATTGCTGAAAACAAAGGTTGTAGTTAGATAAGTTATGTCAGGATGGCACTTATGAAGATGTTGGAGGAACAAAGTTGAACAAAGGCAGCTTCCAGTGAGGACCCAGGTGCAGGTTTATTTACATTGGACAGCATGTCATGCAACACTCTTTCTGTTTAGAGGGGGGGGCTGCAGCCTGACAGCGATAATTAAAGCAGGGATTTTACACTCTTTTTATTATTATTATTTGATTATTACACACCCCCACATAACAAAAATATATATTTATATTACATTTACAAATGATTTATTTCTTCTAAAACTATACTAAATTGGAAAGATAAAATCCAGGAAACCCCTCCCCTCTCAGCAGAGTGGAGGCACCCGGAATCCTCTTTAGGTGCTCCGGCTCCCCGGGGACTTGCTTGGCCGGAACACCTAAATAGGGCAGACAAGAGAGAAAAAGATTAGTGTATTTAAATGTTGTACATTTATTGAATTACCTTCACTTACACTCTTTTCCTTTACAGATCTGCACCTTCACATACAAATCATTCTTTAATAAATATTTTAAAACATTACAGTCTGTCTAATTTACACTCCTGGTAAAGGTCTCTTCTCCATTTATAAAAAAGCTATTGAAGATTCAATCATAAAAAATATAAAAAAGATATTTCTGCTGAAAGCAAAGGTTGTAGTAGTTATATATGGTAGTTATTGATGATACCTGAGAATTTGGTGACCACGCCCCTTTTTGAAAAAAAGTTATTCAAAATTCATATTCATATTTAATCATAAAAAATATAAAAAAGATATTTCTGCTGAAAACAAAAGTTGTAGTAGTTAGACATGTTAGTTATTGAACATACCTGAGAATTTGGTGACCACGCCCCTTTTTGAAAAAAAGTTATTCAAAATTCATATTCATATTTATTCATAAAAAATACAAAAAAGAAACAAATGCTGAAAACAAAGGTTGTAGTAGTTATATATGGTAGTTATTGAACATACCTGAGAATTTGGTGACCACGCCCCTTTTTGAAAAAAGTTATTCAAAATTCATATTCATATTTATTCATAAAAAATACAAAAGAGAAACAAATGCTGAAAACAAAGGTTGTAGTAGTTATATATGGTAGTTATTGAACATACCTGAGAATTTGGTGACCACGCCCCTTTTTGAAAAAGAGTTATTCGAAATTCATATTAATATTAAATCCTATTTATTCATAAAAAATACAAAAAAGAAACAAATGCTGAAAACAAAGGTTGTAGTAGTTAGATATGTCAGTTATTGATTATACCTGAATATTTGGTGACCACGCCCCTTTTAGAAAAAGAGTTATTCAAAATTCATACTCATATCTAATCATAAAAAATATAAAAAAAATATATTTCTTCTGAAAACAAAGGTTGTAGTAGTTAGGCATGTTAGTTATTGAACATACCTGAGAATTTGGTGACTACGCCCCTTTTTGAAAAAGAGTTATTTGAAATTCATATTAATATTAAATCCTATTTATTCATAAAAAATACAAAAAAGAAACAAATGCTGAAAACAAAGGTTGTAGTAGTTAGATATGTCAGTTATTGATTATACCTGAATATTTGGTGACCACGCCCCTTTTAGAAAAAGAGTTATTCAAAATTAATACTCATATCTAATCATAAAAAATATAAAAAATATATTTCTGCTGAAAACAAAGGTTGTAGTAGTTAGGCGTGTTAGTTATTGAACATACCTGAGAATTTGGTGACCACGCCCCTTTTTGAAAAAAAGTTATTCAAAATTCATATTAATATTAAATCCTATTTATTCATAAAAAATACAAAAAAGAAACAAATGCTGAAAACAAAGGTTGTAGTAGTTAGATATGGTAGCTATTTATAGTATTTGAGAGTTTAGTGCGTGTACTTGGCTTAAAATAAAAACTATTGTTCGTTTACACAGCTGGTATTGGCATTTGTTGACGCTCCCTAAGTGCTTTTCTCGGCACTTGCGGCGCATTGGATTCAATGGATTTCTCTGCATTAAAACAGCGCATTGGATTAGAAAAATCGATGTTGTAGTAGTTAGCCCATGTAGAGGTGATCATTTTGGCACAATTACTTTCGTTTAACAACGTAGCTTTCGTAAGATATTCACCGCGGAAGTCCGAATCTGTGAATATCAAGCTAACTTTACCGAACTCTTTCACTACAGGCGCCTCATACAATTGAATCGACGCAGTTGTCACACTGTGTGCCGTGTTTTAAAGAGGAACTGGTGAGTCAAACTAGCGCTAGCCTGCGCTGCTCTGTTGGCTCTTTCTTATATTTTTCTGTGTGGGCGCCGAGGCCTATTATTATGAGTATGTTTTTGCTGTGCTCCTCCTGCTAAAGTTTGCATACATTAGATAGTTGTTTTGATTATGTGCACTAAGCTAGATTAATATTTGCACTATTGTTTATGGTGCATTGATATGAGAATCAGTGCTTTGACTGATTGAAATAATTTATATGAGACATTTTATTATGTAAACTTTTTTTTTTTTGATGGCGAGCTGCCCCAGGTCCAAAGCCTGGACCCCTCATACTACCCCTATCGTACAGTAGGACATTTGGAACAATAACCACTACGGACATTAAACTGATTATATAGATACAGGTCCCAGCCCAATACTGAGATTAATTGATTATAATATAAGCATACTATTCATATATGCTGCACTTGCTACTTCCCATTAAAAACCCCAAAGATAAAAAGTATGTTGACACGGACTGCTCTGATTTTATGTGTGGTCTGTGCATGTGTAACTGAGCCTGCATCTGGCACAACATCCAATTAGATCATGTAGATAGTTTTGATTTACCAGCAGCCTGGAACAAACTGTTAGTCCATGGGTCAGAGACCAACAAGAATGCACCAGCAAAATGATTCCTAACATTATTTTGTTTGCCTACAAAAGTACGTGGAGACCAACAAGAAACAAATCGCGGTCAAAAAGACTCGAGAGGACTCAAAAGTCAAACCGTAGGACTTGGGACTGACTTGAGATTTGTTGGCCTTTGACTTGGACTCGACTCTGGACTTGCCTGTCTTGACTCGTGACTTGACTCGGGACTTGAGGGCAATGAATTGAGACTGACTTGTGACTTGCTAAACAATGACTTTGTCCCACCTCTGCTAACTGCCCAACAGACCCTCCTGCATCGGCAAGAACCATAAGAAACCCAGTGGGAGAAAAGTGAGAAAACTCTGGGAGACCCACAGTTTGAGAAAGGGATCCGCTCCACACAAGTGTCACCTTTTGGAAAATATGGTGCAGTACCACCTTTTCACCAGATGGTACTACATGTATCACGCTCATTCTGATTGGTCCCACTAGATCACCCTCCCAACCCCTTCATCCTGATTCACCGTTAGAACACCCCTCCCATCTCCATTGGTAGCTCAAATATTTTAGAATAAAACAAAATAAATGTAAAAAATAAACTCTTGTTAAATATAACATAGCGTTGTGTGTTCAAGCACTTATAGCACACAGCTCTATTCAGTAATAAATACCACTGGACCTGCGTCCGTGGTTCAGTGAACCCTACAGTGTTTGGGACCGTTAGATGTGAAAAACAAAGCACCCCCCATTGTTTTAGCACACTCTCAACCAGCATCAACTGATTAGGAGAAAAAAACAAAACAAAGCACCCACTGATGTTTTACTACAGGGCCAACCAGGGGTCATCTGCTCAGTGTCACCTTTTCAGAAATAAGCTGCAGTACCACCTTTTCACCACACGGTACAACATGTATCACGCTCATTCTGATTGGTCCCACTAGATCACCCTCCCAACCCCTTCATCCTTATTTGCTGTTAGAACACCCCTCCCATCACCATCGGTCGCTCAAACACTTTAGAATAAAACAAAATACATTTAAAAAATAAAGTCTTGGTAAAAAACAAGGCATCCTGTGATCAAGCACTTATAGCACACAGAGCTCTCTTCCTTAATAGATGTGTCTCACGAATAAACCTCTCTGTCTCATGGAGTGGTCATAAACCGAGATCACCCTGAGGGGTACACAAGATATCCCACGGCCCCCGTGTCGTGGGTCATTGAAACCACTTCCATGGTTAGCACTGTTAGATGTCAACAACTAAGCACCCCCCGTTGTTTTACCACACTAAGTATCAACTGATTAGTGAAACAAAAGAATGTGTCCCTGGGTCGTTGAACCCAACTGCTTGACACTGTAATGCCTAGCGTACATCGGACTGGCAACTGATTATATCCGTGGCCTATGAGTTGCTGCCCCGCACACATCGACAATCTGACGAAAACGGGCAACTCCCAGTAGCAGACCAGTCTGGGGAATAACAGCGCGTACATCGACAGCAACTGGCCTCAACTACAGTGTGTTTTCTGACATAAACTGTAGATGGCGCAATACACGCAATACACACACGTTGTCGGAGCGGCGCATGGAGCGCGCACATCGGGTCATATCTCCGAAACTGAGGACAACTAGTTGCCGAAAAGTAGAACACGGGCAACTGACTGAAACTGGAGACCGACTGTTCATCTCCAGTTGTAAGAGCGCTCACATCGACCGATTTCAGCAACTGATCATCTCCCACCATCTCCTCTCAGTCGCCAAAAGCCGCCTTGCAACTAGTTGTCTCCAGTTTCTCTGTCGATGTACGCTAGGCTTTAGTTGTCAAAAAACTAAGCACTCCCTTGTCCCACGTAGCACCTGCATCAACTGATTAGTGAA